GTTTACGGCTGCACAGATGAGAGGTGAGATTATGGAAGAGGCGAAAGAGCAGAGAGGACGGGGTACAGGAGGGACCCCGGGTGGGGCCAAGGCCTAGTCTCCCGTAAAGGGGGGGCGATAGTGTCTTTTTGACGCTATTCGCGATGTGGCCATTCCCGTCTCTCTCTGCATTCCAGTAATGCGCTGGTCTTTCCTTTACCCATTTTCTCCCTTGTTGTGTAATGGTCGCCCTTCCCCCTCCTACCCACCCCCCACTTTCTTCTGCTTGTGTTTCTCCTTTTCTTTTTTCTTCTTTTTCTCGAGACTGCAACTTTTTGTGTTTCTAATTTCTCCGTGCCGGGTCTGTTTATCCTATGAGAGCACTCGTAGGATTCGTACAGAGTGTCCACTTGTATCGCTCTGCTGACCTCTTCTTTCGACTGTTTTACTTCTTTTGATTTCTTTCTTCTTTACTTTTTTGGTTAGATGTGCTATTAAATCACTACCTACTGAACAAACTTGACTGTAATTGCATAATGAGCAGTGTGCTTGCGACGAAAAAGGAGTGCTGATGTGAGTGCGTGAAGGTGACGGCGTTGTCGGTGAGCATGATAAAGAGAGCGTCCGATTTAGCGGGGCTGCGTCACATAATAGTTTTTTTGCATAATTAATTTTGTGCATTTTGTTTACGGCTGCACAGATGAGAGGTGAGATTATGGAAGAGGCGAAAGAGCAGAGAGGACGGGGTACAGGAGGGACCCCGGGTGGGGCCAAGGCCTAGTCTCCCGTAAAGGGGGGGCGATAGTGTCTTTTTGACGCTATTCGCGATGTGGCCATTCCCGTCTCTCTCTGCATTCCAGTAATGCGCTGGTCTTTCCTTTACCCATTTTCTCCCTTGTTGTGTAATGGTCGCCCTTCCCCCTCCTACCCACCCCCCACTTTCTTCTGCTTGTGTTTCTCCTTTTCTTTTTTCTTCTTTTTCTCGAGACTGCAACTTTTTGTGTTTCTAATTTCTCCGTGCCGGGTCTGTTTATCCTATGAGAGCACTCGTAGGATTCGTACAGAGTGTCCACTTGTATCGCTCTGCTGACCTCTTCTTTCGACTGTTTTACTTCTTTTGATTTCTTTCTTCTTTACTTTTTTGGTTAGATGTGCTATTAAATCACTACCTACTGAACAAACTTGACTGTAATTGCATAATGAGCAGTGTGCTTGCGACGAAAAAGGAGTGCTGATGTGAGTGCGTGAAGGTGACGGCGTTGTCGGTGAGCA